TCAGCAGGCGCTCGTTCTCTAACTTTCGTCAGTGACCACGCCTCGCATCCACACGTCAGCGCCTTTAGCACAGCGTTATTCAAGGGGTGGGAGTTTTCAGTCCGATGCATTGAGGTTATCGATGATGCTGTGAAATTTGCGCCAATCGATAGGCCCTCTACGTGCCAATTTTAGTTGGAAAGTGTAGCGCATATTTGGGCAAGGCAGGCACAGACGTCAACTTCTTCCAAGTCAACATCGTATATCTGCACTCCTACCGCGAGTGTCCGCCACTTCGCATCATCATCTTTGACGTGTTAGTTTTCAGGTCTACTTTTTCTGTACTTCATGCGTTCAGCTCCTTCGCCGACTCATTTTACTCGCCATATGAACTATGTCATATAAGAAGCGTAAGTGATTTAACTGGTTTGCTACTGATATTCAGGCCACCTTTCCAATTTAACTCCCAAAAAAGTCCAAGCCCGACTGTGAAAAACCCGGGCGTTATGGGATCTCCTTGCCTTGCTCCCCTCTCGATCAGTACATAGTTTGAAAAGAAAAAAGGTATTATGTCTGTTGAGCAGCTGTCGTATTAAATATGCTGATATTATAACTGGCTGACATAATATAACAATGGGACATAATAACAAAAGTAGCACATTTTCATAATTATCTGTAATGAGCACAGAGGTAGTTTTTTTGATGTGATTAAGACAATTAAAATCAGTAAGAAGGTAGCTGTCATTTATACTCTAGCAGTCCCCACTTGTCTTTTACCTCGTCACTTCACTGCAGTGATTAATAATTTTCCAACAATCAAGTTGGCATTTGGATTAGTCTGCTAATGATGGCGAATGGCCAGCATGCTGCTGCTGCCAATGTTGGCTTCATTCCCTTGTTTTCTGACTTCGTACTTCTTGATAAATCAGCCAGATACATCAAGAAGTTTCCGTCGTTTGCGCCGTTCTTCAGCTCATCTTCTGGTAATTCTTTCAATACTTACTCGCAAAGGCCAAAAGTTGTAGAAGGAAGTATACTAAGAAACATGGAAGTTCCCAAAATTTACAAATTACCGTAGTAATGCGACTAAGATTTAGATGAAGTCATTGCAAAAATGTGACTTATTACCTCTGCCATTACACAATTAAGCAAAATTTACTAATGCAAATAAACTTGCTCCTCGCTTAATTTTATCAACCCATTGAATGCGTCGAACGACTGGGTGCAAGGAAGCTGAGAAAGCACAAGCAAAAAAGTCTTTACGTAGCTTCTTTACCGTTATGAAATGAGACGAA